GTTGGAAGTTCCCATTCAAGCCGTCTCCAGCCATTATTAGTCTCAAAGTGGGTTTCTCGTCACCGAACTTATACTAGTAACAATTTTTTTATAAGAAACGATTACCAAAGAAACACAAATTGTACTATGTCTATTCTCTTTATCCCATTACTGTCATACGAACGTTTTGCAGTTTTCTTTAAATTAACACTTTCATCTATGCACAAAAAAGCAGCACGTGCTATTACGTAAGAAGCAGCAAAAGTCTGAACGTAAATTCGAATGAGCATTTTTGTAGTGATAACGAACAACTAAAAGAAATATGAATTATCTGGTTTAGGTGGTGACTATATTTATAGGAAATTACTAACTAAAAACATTTAGTTTAATAACTCCAAAGGAGTTACGACACGTGTACAAAACTTTGTATGTATCATAACTCTTTAACTTTACACGTGTCGTAACTCTTTGATTGTGTATGTGTCGCAACTCTTTAACTGTACACGTGTCGTATCTCTTTAATTGAATATGTGTCGTAACTCCAACTTTGTATGTATCATAACTCTTTAATTGTATATGTGTCGTAACTCCAACTTTGTATGTGTCGTAACTCTTTAACTGTACACGTGTCGTAACTCTTTAACTGTACACGTGTCGTAACTCTTTGATTGTGTATGTGTCGCAACTCTTTAACTGTACACGTGTCGTATCTCTTTAATTGTGTATGTATCGTATCTCTTTAATTGTGTATGTGTCGTAACTCTTTAATTGTGTATGTGTCGTAACTCTTTAACTGTGTATGTGTCGTAACTCTTTAACTGTGTATGTGTCGTAACTCCAACTTTGCAAGTATCCTAACACTTTAACTGTACATATATCAAAACTCTTTAACTGTTCATGTGTCATAACTCTAACTGTTCATGTGTCATAGCTCTAACTGTACACGTGTCATAGCTCTAACTGTACATGTGTCATAGCTCTAACTGTACACGTGTCATAGCTCTAACCGTACATGTGTCATAGCTCTAACTGTACATGTGTCATAGCTCTAACTGTACATGTGTCATAGCTCTAACTGTACATATGTCATAGCTCTAACTGTGCATGTGATCTAAACACAGCCAGATTACCCATTGGGTCCACTGGGCCTAGGCCCATAAAAAACAATAACGGTGTTCATTGTTCACGTTCTTACATGTATGCGTGTATATTTTACGCCTTCAACAAAAAATGTTTTAATCGAGTTTTATATTTTAACTTAGTTTTACAAAAATCAGCCTGTAACCATTTTAAAAACATATAATTTTTATAGTTGTACACTTATTATATTTTGATTAAATTAAAGTGATTTTATCATTTTATAAAAAACCCTTTTTATCGTTTTTGGTAAAAATGTAATTAAGCCCCCTATTCAATAACGCGTGAATCTGGCGTAATGCATCTACTTATTGGTTGCTTAACATTTATTTCATTGTTTTTGTCAGTTTCATTGTACAGATTTTGACATAGGTGAGTTATGCAATGAATCTGATTGCTGATAAAAGGTAGTTGTTCTGGTTCGGGGCCTATTTTATTTCGTCTCAAGGGCCTATTCTTGGTTGATCTGGCACTGGATCTAAGTTCTAGCAGCATATTATTGCATCTAATAAATCAAAGAAATTTAAAAAGTATATCAATGCTAATATTCGTTTTATAGATATAGGTAGTTAAACACGACTGCCCCTTCAGTTTCTAGGGTACAGCTACTTGACGTGAGTCAATATCGTACTACCAGCTATTGTATAATCTAGCTTTTGATTCCGAGTTTGAGCTTTATGATTTTTTTATTGTTGCCAAGGAGTCGTAGGTCTAGGGGATAGCTAATCTTTACCCAACAGATGTGTAGATCCCAACGACACCCAAACAACTGTAAGAAATATGACGTGAGAAATTTAGCAAATCCATCGGTGCTAACTGAAAATAGACAATGAACTGGTTTTAAAAGTCAGTTGACAACAGTCGTTTTAAGCGGGCAGTAAGAAGCTCAGCCCTGAATCGAACATGTTATATATGAATCTTCCAATAGCTATGTGGTTTTGTTTATTTCTTGTTAAGCAAAAAAAAAATGCACAGTAGGCTACCATTATCTGCTTCTGCCCACCGAGAACATTAGAACCAGATGTTAGTGTTGTTACAAGCCTTCAGACTTGCCGCTGAGCCACGGGGGGCGCTGTATATAGAAGGTTATAATATATTTGTTCGCACATAAACAACGCATTTTACGCTAAATATCACCTTTTGTACTGAAATAATGTTACATTTTCTTCCTTACAAAATAATACATTGATTATAATACATCTTCCTAGTGGCTAAGCAATATGTCTGAGGGCTTATAACACTAAAAAACAGATAGCCTATTGTGTTTAACAACAAACTCATAACAGATATATGTAAAATTAAAGTTTTCAAATATTTATTTACGTACTAAATAAAATACAGTTAAACAACTTCATGCAGTGCATACTAGTTTCCATCACGTGACACAACTCTTGCCCCGTTTTAGTGTAGTTTTCAATTAAGCCTGAAACATAAAGGTTAATTCAGTAAATAGAGAAACTACTGTGATCTGTACTAGTGTAATCCAGTAAATAGACAAAATTATTTTTTTTTACTTTAACAACAATAATCATACGTTTAGGTAAGAAATAATTGTCTGTCTTCAACTACCAAATATAGGCTTACACCACTAAAAATCGGGTTTTGATACTCGTGGTGGGCACATCACAGATAGCCCTTTACGTTTAAAAACAAAGAAACAATAGGCTTCTAGAAGTAAAATTGCAATCTTATAAAGTTTTGACATAATTTCTGAGTTATATCACGCTACTGGGGGTAAACGTTAAACACTTGAAATAAAATATAAAACAAATCTTTTTAACTACACATAAAATAATGTTTATATTTATAGTCTGATGGGCGATTTTTATTATTCTAATTTTAATTGTTTACTCTGTTACCAAAAAAATATGCGTATTTTGATTCCAGAATTTAACAGATTTTTTTACTTTAAATGTTCAAATCGCATAATTACATTTTTACAATATATCTGCTCAGCATAATTACATTTTTACAATATATCTCAAGAAACATTATGAACCTATTAATGAAACAGACAAAGTAAATAGACAAACAATATAGATATGTCCACATAACAGATAAATAGATAAGTAGGTGTTATGGACGTACCAAGAAAATAAAACTGATGTCATAGACATCTAAAAAATAACAGACACGCAAATAGATGAATCAATGATATGGGTGTATCGACATAATAGATAAGTAGGTGTTATGGACGTACCAAGAAGATAAGAACGATGTCATAGACATCTAAAAAATAACAGACACGCAAATAGATGAATCAATGATATGGGTGTATCGACATAATAGATAAGTAGGTGTTATAGACGTACCAAGAAGATAAGAACGATGTCATAGACATCTAAAAAATAACAGACACGCAAATAGATGAATCAATGATATGGGTGTATCGACATAATAGATAAGTAGGTGTTATAGACGTACCAAGAAAATAAAACCGATGTCATAGACATCTAAAATAGATGGATCAATGATATTGGTGTATCGACATAATAGATAAGTATCTGCTTGTTAAGTATAAGGATATATTTATATAACCTGTTTCGTCAATATGTTCATATTGTTTCTTGATCTGCTTGTTAAGTATAAGGATATATCCATGTCATCTGTTTCGTCAATATGTTCATATTGTTTCTTGGTCTGCTTGTTGTTAAGTATAAGGATATGTAATCTGTTTCGTCAATATGTTCATATTGTTTCTTGATCTGCTTGTTAAGTATAAGGATATATCCATGTCATCTGTTTCGTCAATATGTTCATATTGTTTCTTGATCTGCTTATCTCGTATACAGATACGTCCATATCGCTTGTCATCAACTTGTTCGTTTCGCGGTTATATCCGTATTCTTGGTCTATTTGGTCGTCTATTATTTGGATATCCCCATATTGTTGGTCAATCTTCTTGTTTGAGATGTGGAGTTATCCATAACCTATTATAGTTTTGCATTGCCTTACTAAGTACTATTTCTAATTACCTCTATTCATATTTACATATACTTAGCTTTATTTTTTTCATTCTAGTTAAACATACCGTTCCGCTGGATATTCTTGTACCCATGATATTCACCATCCACACGCCCTTTCTTAAGAAGACTGGCTGATGACGACATAGGTCCCGTCATAGGAACTCTCTTAGGTGGTCGTCCAGGTCTGCAACTAGAAAATTAATCAAAGTAGGGTGTAATTTGCGTTATAACTGTGAGGGTGTCAAAAAGTGTTAGTTTTAAGAAAAATTCACTATTTTACAGAATCATTAGCTTTCCTATGTTCATCAAACCAAACAGAAAACAGCGAATACAAGTAATGACTTTAGCCAATGATTCCTTCACTTGTCTGTGCGAAGAGAGTTGTCCTCGAGTTTTCCATAAGAATTTTCCCACGCATGAACTAGTTGAGGAGATTTTTTTTAACATATTTATTTTTTTGGGTGCTATATTTTGTAGGAGGCATTTTTCTTTTACAGTTTTGAGAAGAAAAAAAAATGTTCATAGAAAGTGTATTTTAAAATGCCTAATGTTCAATGGAATACAGATTGAAATTACCTACCAGCCCATTTTTATGGAATAGTTCATTAATATCGAAGTCTAATTTCTCATTGGTTACTTTTTCTGGTTTCAATACCTTTTTTTTTCTACCAAAGCTTCGTGAATTGTAAAATGTGTCTGCCATGCGCACTGCTTTATTGAAATTGTTTATAACTATTTACAAGGTAAAGAACTAGAAATTTAAAACTTGAACGTCACTTTATACACACAGAGACTCCATGGGCTTAGCTAGCTACAACCGCCTCTGAATTTGAGCGACTGACCACAAGTAGGGTAGCCCTACTATCTTTCTTGGTCACAAGAACTTCGTCTGGTTCTTTGAACCAAATCAGAGGGTTGACTGTCGCTTTTATAACATGCTCACAGCTGAAATGTGGAGCATGATAATCGGAATCAGTGCTTGAATCTTGGATCTTTTGATTCACAACCCAGTATGCTAACCAATAGGCCGTGTGTGGCCCAATTATGTAAGAAAAATACATCCTTTATAAAAAACATCTAGGAATTTTTCTACTATGAGCATAATTAGATGTTACCCGTGTGTTTTTGTTTATATCCACAAAACTAACAACATATACACAACATTGAAGTACATATAAAGGTAAAAACATCTTAGCTTTTAAGCAAAAACTTATCTTATGCAAATAACATCAATGAGAAAACTAAATAAAGTTACAGGCGTGAACATTCACAAAAAGAGGATTGTATGTATGTATGTATTACACGTATAAGAATTCTATACAGACCTCTTGTAAGCCTTGAATTGCAAGAAGCAAGTCAGAATACAAAAGGTTGAGGATATTATATTTAACAATCTTAGATACGCAAATCAGCAAGTCACGTGACAACCACAGCCGATAAAAATTCGCGATAGAATGGTATGCATAAGAACTATATTTTGAAATTGTTAGGCATTTCATAGGTAATAGGGTGATGCCACAGAAATTAACCGCTTTTGAGAATGGTATGTAACAGCTGTTTCTGACGCAAAATGTTCATACACCCTCATTGTAAATATGTATTTAGATCAGGGATTTAGAGTTCCTAAGAAGGAGATATTCCTTATATTTAACGCTAATAGAAAACAAAAGAATATGGATTAACTTGGGAAACCAGGACCATCGAAAAAAAGAGACCTGTAACAAGTCGTACTCCATCTTTTGTAAGCAAAGTGCGGCATCTTTTAACGAATGAGGATTCAAGAACACAAAGGTCAGTGGTAAAAGTTGTCCACGTTTCCCAGGCAACAGTGAGAGACATAATCAAGAAGGGTCTCTGTCTGAATTTTTGATTTATGTGCGATCAGATTATCGAAACGGGTTCTGGAAAACTGTCGTTCTCGTACACTAGATAGGTTATGAAAAGCAAGCAGGAAGGAGTTGTGTGTTTTGAACACGGCAGCCTTACGATCGAGCCTTTTGTAATGGAAAACTACGCCATACGGTCGTTAAGTAGAGCATGACAGGACATGGCGACGTGGACTGTAACGACTTAGTGAGGCTTCAAAATTTTGTTAATATAAACATAATCTATGTATTTAGTTTCATTTGTAAACTGTACTTTCTGTATAACCTAGTTTGATTGTATGTATGTATGTATATATATATAACAAGATGAAACAGATGTTTATATACCAAGTTCATAGTCTCCCCCTAGTGGCACAGCGGTATCTCTGCGTACTTATAACGCTAGAAACCAGGTTTCGATACCCGTGGGGAGCAGAGCACAGATAGCCCATTGTGTTTCCTTGTGCTTATCTTCAAACAAACAAAGTTCATAAAATGCGGTCCTATGGTAATTGATCTATTTGGCTTAAGCTTATATTTTATTTAGACGAACTAAACTTATACAAAGAGGAGGAGGAGAAGAAGGAATGGGGAGGAATATATGACGTAAAAGTACCATGGTAGATTTTTTTTTAAATCAAGTAGTCAATACGTCAGGCTAGCTTTATCCTAAAGGTTTTGCATGCATCAATCACAGGAATTTAATATACAATATTTTTCTTTCAGATAGAATGAAAGGGAATACACCAGAAGAATGTTCATTTCATCCAGTAATAAACGATGTTAATACACGTTTTCTTCTCAAATAAATGAGAATTCACCTTAATGAGCATTGCTAAGCAACCAGTCAGCATGTGGTAAACCGGGGGCTAGGCTTGCTGATTAAAGACAACCGTTTCACAAAAGTTAGATTAATCTAAAAAGCTGATTGTTTGCTCACAGAGATTCTAGATGCGGAGAATAAAAGGTATCGGAAAATTGGATATTTAATTATTTCTAGGTAATAAGTTAATGACAACAATTATCATTGCATAATATTTATAGTCTCATAATTAATTATTCATCTCTTACCGGTATAACATTAGTAAATCACATTATTTTTATTTTTCTCTCTTACTGGATCTCGACGAATTTCATTGCGACGAGAGTATAATTTTCACATGTCATTAAATAGGCACTCCACCATCACCCATACTCTCACAGAAATATATATATATGTACTCAAAAATTATGACAATTTGTTTTCTAAGCTAAACTGACATAACAAACAGTGAATTTTTAATATATATATATATATTTAATATTTAGAAGCTGTATAAAGCTGTATTGATAATTTGGAAATAAAATATTTTTATGCTTGTGCAGATATTTAGCCTCATAGATGTTCTCGTCGTAGAAATATAGAAAATTAATAAATGAAAATAAAATAAAATAACACGGCAAATCGAACGGTAATTTCTTGAAAAAAGAATGTAGCGGTCTGGTTCCTTTATAGCTAATTAGATAGTTCATTCCATTCCTAATAATAAAGTGCTAATGATATATAGCAAAAAAAAAATTACAAAGACTAACAGAACTGAATATTTCAGGATTTTTGTCCAGACAAACTTCAAATACAGTTAATAACATTGTTTACCGGAGAGTGCGCTAGCGCTTTCTATGTTGGGATGGCACGGACCCCCGTATTAAAGCAATACAAAAGTCATCTGAGTTTTCTTCTCTATAGGTCATCAGAAGCTTGATATGAAGAGCCACCTAGCATATTTGCTCTATCTCCGGTGTATATGCCGCTTTTCAGCTATCCAGAGCGTCCCAAGGTCGAAAACAAAGGAAGAGTCAAAACCGAGATTTCTTATTTTCGTTCATAATCATATTTCTTCATCAGGCCTAGCGCCTACCTAGTTCTAGCAGTAACTGTAATTTTATCATTATTTGATAGAGCAAAACGGTCTTTACGATCTTTGACAGCTTATTTTACTATTATTCTATGCAAAATTGATAAAGCTTTAGAATACACTTTATAACATAGTAACCCAGGTACGCCATCTTATAAAAAAGTAAATAAGCAAGTATAAGGAAGAGTTTATTGCCAAATAAAAAAAGCTATGTAGGTCTGGCTACTGAACTTGAAAAAAGGAACCAATCAAATTAGGAATGGAAGTGGACATATCAATTGATCGGCTAATGATTACATAGCAGACTAAGACTTTACATGGAGAATATAATCTCCATATTACTTACTGACAAAACAAATAGAACTAGAATTTCCAATCATAAAATGTTGCTCCATTGTAAAATAATCATAAAATTAGTATTCTAAAGTTGACTGAAGGAAAGGTATAATGATGAGATTCTATTCATACACCAGACTTTCTATAAACAAAGTGGAGAAGCCAGTAATGTAGGGATTTTATTCTCCATGTAAAGTATGCCATATGATCAAATGATATGTTCACTTTCATCCCTATCTAATTCGGTTCTCTTTTTCAAGTTCAATAGCCAGCACTACATAGTTTTTTTGTCTATATTTAGCGATAATGTTTTTCTTTTACTTGTATATGATAATATTAAAAAACAGTTGTTGTCATTTCTATACAATTTTCCCAGTGCCATTAAAACGCATATTTAACGACGTGGTTTTGAATTTTTGTTTTATGTATTTTCGCACTGTTAAAAATACTTTTTCAATAGCGATGGTTCTACATTTAAAGAATCGTTTGCTAACATTTTTTAAAGCACGCCAAGGTTTCTGCGATAATGAACTTATAAGGAATAAAATATGTTCTAAAATCAAGAAACAAACTTCTATGACTATAGTATAACTTAATAGATTTAAAGTAGTTAACACTATATTCCTGAACTATAAATGTTTG